GTATGTACCTAGACTCAAAGTTCCTCCCCACAAATTATTTTTGTTTTTTATTTTATTGTGGTAAAATATATATAAAACACAAAACTTACCATTTAAACCATTTTTAAATGGTACAGTTCACTGTCATAAATTACATTCACAATGGTGTGAACCATCACCACTATTTCTAAAACTTTTCATCAACCCCAAAAAGAAAACTCTGTACCCCTTAAGTAATAACTCCCCATTTCTCACTCACCCTCAGCCCCTGGTAATCACTAATAAAAACTGTCTCTATGCATTTACCTATTCTACTTATTTCATATAAGTAGAATTATACAATATTTGTCCTTTTGCCTCTGACTTACTTCACTTAGCATGTTTTCAAGGTTCATTCATATCATAGCATGTATCATAACCTCATTTCTTTTCATGGCTGAAAAATATTGTTTTATGTATGTACCATATTTTGTTTATCCATAATCTGTTGAATGGATTCATCATGTGAATAATGGGCATCAGTGTACAGGATCTATTTGAGTCCCTGCTTTCAATTCTTTTGAGTATATACTGAGGAGTGGAATTGCTAGGTCGTATTTGCTTGTTTTTTTTTTCATTGTGGTAAAATATATATAACATAAAACTTTTCATTTCAATCATCTTTTATGTGTACAATTCAACCACATTAGTTACATTCATAATGTTGTGCAACCATTAGCACTTTCTATTTCTAAAACTTTTTCACCACCCCAAACAGAAACTCAGTACCCATTAAGCAATGACTCTCCCATTTCCTCTCTTACCCTAGCCCATGGTAACCACTAATCTACTTTGTTTCTATGCATTAGCCTATTCTAGATTTTTCACATAAGTGAGACTATATAATATTTGTCCCTTTGTCCTGGTTTATTTCAGTTAACCAGTTTGCAAGGTTCATCCATGTTGTAGCATGTATCAGAACTTAATTTCTCTTTATGGCTGAATATTCCAATGTATGTATATATCACATTTTGTTTATCCACTCATAATGCTGCAAGAACACTGGTATACAACTGAGTTCCTGCTTTTAATTCTTTGGGGTATAAACCCAGAAGTGGAATTGTTGGGTCATATGGTCAGTCTGTGTTTAACTTTTTGGAACTGCCAAATTGTTTTCCACAACAGCTGCATCATTTTTCATTCCCACCAGAAATGGATGAGGAATCCAATTTCTCCCCATCCTCACTAACACTTGTTACTTTCCACACTTTTTTAATAATAGTGCGTGTGAAGAGATATCGCATTGTGGTTTTGATTTGCCATTTGCCTAATGGCTAATGATGTTGAGTATCTTTTCATGGCTTAGTGACTGTAGATCTTCTTTGGAGAAATGTTTTTTCAAGTTCTTTGCAGTTTTTGATAGGATTGCCTATTTGTTGTTGCACTTGTTGTTGAGTTGTCTGTTTTAACTTTTTGAGGAACCACCTGTTTTTCACAAAGGCTCACAAATTACTTTTTAATTATAAGGGAAAATAACTGCAGGAAATAAACTTGGAAGACTACCACCTTAATCAAGTGATCCAAGCTAGCAACAACAATAATGGGCCAAAAGGCATCATGTGTCTACCGATGTGAAGCAACTGGGATACATCATTTATGCATAAACTGAATCTAATCATGAGGAAATACCAAACAAACCTAAATTAAGGAGCTCCCTTAATTGTTATCTGCCAAAACATCAATGTCATGAAAGAAAACAAAAAGCTGAGGGGTCATTCCAGATTAAAAGAGATTAAAGAGACATGACAACTAAATGCGATGTGTTTGACTGGGAATTGGATTGGGGGCAGAGGATTGCTATAAAAGGCATTACTGGGACAACATATTATATCAGTGTTAAATTTCCTGAATTTGATCATTGTTCTGTGGTTATACAAGATACTCTCTTTGTTCCTAGGAGATACACAGCTAAAGTACTTGAAAATAAAGAATTGTGATACCTAAAACTTTTGCTCTCAGAAAAAAAAAAAAAAACAAATCTGTTGCCGTCGAGTCAATTCTGGCTCATAGTGACCCCTATAGGACAGAGCAGAACTGCCCCAGAGGGTTTCCAAGGAGCAGCTGGTGGATTCGGCAGCCAAGCTCTTAACCACCACACCACCAGCGCTCCTTTACTCTCCGAGGGTTCAACAAAAAATAGTAACATATATTCTGTACAGAGGGATTAGTGAATCTGAGTAAAGCGTATTGAGGAATTTTTATTATTTTTGCAACTCTTCTGTTAATTTGAAATTATTTCAAATTAAAATGTTTAAAAAATGCTATCAAGAGTAAATAATGGTTATCTCTGGTTTGTGGCATTTCAACTGATTTTCACTTTCAAATATATCTCATTTTGATTTTTTTACAATAAAAACATAACATTATGATAATCATAACAAAAGCTATTCTTATTTCAGAAAGCAAACTGTGACCTCAAGCAATACAGTATGGTCTAAAACTATTTCTTCAAATACAAGTTTCACAATTTATTAATACATATTATAAACAAGAACACGTTGGTGGTCAGATGTTTGTTTTCTGCAGAACTTTTCAGAGCACAGAAAATGCTAATGTATACCCTGTGAATCTTCAAGAGGAGGATGTGCCACATATTTCCTACACCCTAAGATACAATCTAAGAGGCATCACTGATTAACAGCTTTTTATGAGGGGAATAAAAAGAACCTTCACAATAAACTCACACATAGTAACATGAGTACCAATTTCATCTACCTAAAAATGTGGGGGAAATGGACACATTAGAATTGAGAAATGTGGAATTATGCAGGGTCTCCCAATTTTGTTTGGCTATCACTTTCCTTATGCAGACTGCATAACTTGCGTTACCAGACAGCACTCCTTGGCTGGCTCTGCACATTAAGAACCTTAACTAAAAAAGCAGAAGCTGCCAATTTTTATAACAACAAACTTAACGGCTTGATCCCTATCATCCTCCAAGTTAATCTGACAAGAATACTTTAACTAGTTTTCCCCAAGTATTTTAAACATTTAACTGTTAGACCAGTTAGTCGTGAATTTTATCGTGTACTCATGGAAACAATCTAAACTCAGCTTTTCTTTACTGGCTTTTCACAAAGTATTTTCAGAATTGAAGACTTTTAATTTTTGATATAAACTTAATTCTTGTGAGATGTCATAGATGCTGTTGGTATTTTCAACCTGATGCTGTTCATTTTCTTCGTCATTTTCACTTTGGCCTGAACTCTTAACTTCAGTCAATGGAACCTGGATAAATGGGAAGTCCACAGAGAACCTTCCTTCACTTGGACTGATTCTTCAGGCCTGAAAGCTCTCCTTACTGGGAAAGTTACAGGGTAGCAAGCTCCTCCCCGACTCTCAACATCAGGAAGAGTTTGGTTACAAAACAGAGGTTCCACTATTTATGCCTGTCATTTTCACAGGACTACCTGATGGTCAGAAAGAGCCCTGCAACCATTTTGGTAACTCCATACAAGATCTGGCGTGTTTCGTGTATCTCTACGAAGTAGGCATACGGGAATATCGAGAAATCACTTGTAAAAATTAATCTAGCTCAACCCCTCATTTGAAAGACCATTTAGTAGTAACCAAATTTTTCAGTTTTCTTCCCCTTCTGCAATTTTGTAATAACATTCAAATTTTACCTGCTTCAAATAACCACCTAACTAAAAAAAAAAAATCAACATGGAAAAGACCTAAGTAAAAGACCCATCATATACCTAAAACTGCCAGATTGACTCATGGTGACCCCACGTGTGTGAGGGTTGAGCTGTGCTCCGTAAGAGTTCTCAATGGCTCATTTTTCAGAAGCAGACTGCCAGGCCTTTCTTTCAAGGTGCCTCTGGGTGGATTTGAACCTCCGTTTCAGTTAACAGCTAAGTGCATTAAACATCTGCACCACCCAAGGACACATATGTAAAATTAGTACAACATAATTTGTTTGATAGGAGTGCAAATAAATCTTGATTTGCTTCTCCGGCCCTTCAATCAATCTTCTTTTAAGCATACATTAAACCTCTCATTCCCAACACCATATACCTCATGTTGCTACTATTTCTCTAATCAACATCAATTAGTTCTCCTCAACCTGCCCTGAAATTTTAACTCCTTTTGGTAAACTCTCAGTTGCAAACCACCTCTACAAACATTCCATCCTTCTCTGGTATCCCATACCCAAAAGCAACTCAACAAGGAGTGTGCAATTTTAATGTTACAAAAAAAGGTGTTGAAAATGGATATATTCAAGATGATGAAGGAAAAATGCTGAGGGTTTTCAAAAAAGAAAAGATTGTCCCTTATTATTGGACTGTAAAAAATAATACTAGCACACTTTTTAAAAAAAATACAATCCTAAAGTTCTTGAATATTTAACCACTGACCACCGAAGTAAGGTTGCAAGCCTCCATTTATTCACTGTTATTAATAATGGTATGTCTTAGTCATCTAGGGCTGCTGTAACAGAAATACAACAAGTGGATGCCTTTAACAAAGAGAAATTTATTCTCTCACAGTCTAGTAGGCAACAAGTACAAATTCAGGGTGCCAGCTCCAGGGGAAGCCTTCTCTTTCTATCAGCTCTACGAGAAGGTCCTTGTCAATCTTCTCCTGGACTAGTAGCTTCTCAGGCACAGAGACGCCGGGTCCAAAAGACACACTCTGCTCCCAGTGCTGCTTTCTTGATGGTATGAGGGCTCCCCTTCTCTGCTTGCTTCCCTTTCATCTGTTGTAAAATAAAAGGTGGTGCAGGCCACACCCCAGGGAAACTCCCTTTACATTGAATCAGGGATGTGACCTTAGTAAGGGCATTACAAACTCACTCTAATCCTTTTTAACATAATCTAATCTTGCCTCATTAACCACAAGCAGAGATTAAGTTTTACAACACATAGGAAAATTACAATCACAAAATGGAGGACAACCACACATACTGGGAATCATGGCCTGACCAAGTTGACACGTATCTTTGGGGGACACAGTTCAATCCATGACATGGTACTTACCCTGTATCTCCCAATCCATGAAGGAAAATAACCTAGAATAGAAAAGGAAAAAATTAGGAATAGGCAATGCCTACATAAACCTGTATTTCACACTGCAGTTTTGGGTAACATGGATTAGAGAATAAAGGTTCTTATAATCTACTCCAGAATTAGACTATCTCAGAAAATTAATTAATCTCTATACCAAACCAAAAACCAAACCCGTTGCCTTAGAGTTGATTCCAACTCATAGAGACCCTACAGGACAAACAGAGTAGAACTGCCCCATAGGGTGTCCAAGGAGCGGCTGGTGGATTTGAACTGCGGACCTTTTGGTTAGCAGCCAAGCTCTTAACTACTATGCCACCAGGGCTCCAATTAACCTCTACAGACCTCTTTAAATGGCAAAAATACTCCTTATAACTTACTTCATTCCCTGGGGTGCCTAACATCAATTAACTTGGGGCTTTAGCAATTAAAGAGGTCCCACTTAGAAGTGCAAAGTATCAAAGGCTAAGAAAAAAGTCTCTCCCAAGTTAAACCAAGTATTAAGTCTCACATACACGGTAGAAATTTCCCATCACAAAGAAGATGCCTCCGAGGGTAAATTAGGTTTGAGATTCTTATGGAAAAGTTCCTCTCAAAAGAGTAGCTCTGATTTCACAATAAACTATATCCTCCAACTTCTTCAATTTAGACCAAGAGGGTAAGAAATGAAAACACGCTCTTCCTATGGACTTAGACGTGCCTCTCCACAAACGAGGAAGAAACACCCTCTCGAGCACCCCAGGTGCGGACACCCACACCCCCTGCCGCTTGTCCCTCCGGGTTTGGGCCGGGAACCCAGGGCGTGATCGCTCCGCAGCGCAGGGGGCACCAGACTTCGGGCGAGACCTGATCCCCCAGCCCGGCGACAACCCCGGAGGCGACCCGGGCGCTCCTCCACTCAGCACAGGCCCGGGCGGCGCAACGAACCCCACCAACCAGGCAGGAAGGGCGTCCCACCCTCGGGCCGCCGCCGCCCTGCACGGACCCTGCGCAGGGGGCAATCCGGGGAGGCCGAGTGGGCCCGAACCTCCGCCACCACTCACCGCGGCGGTGGCCTTCCGGGCGGCTGGCACGATGGCGGGGAGAGGGGCGGACATGTTATTGCCGCACATACACCGGCTTGGCGACCGCGCGTCGGAAGCGGAAAGGACAGCGGCTCCCGGCCGCTGCCAAGAGCGTGAGAGCGCCGACTCCCGGTCCGCCCCGCCGGGCGCGCGCTCAGGCGCGTGCGCGCCAACCCGGCGCCGCGCAGCCCGCCGCGCACTCCGCGCGCCCCGTCCCCGCCCCGTGGTGCTCTCCCTGTGCCGTCACAGAAGTTCCAGCTTAGCCCTCCGCCCGGACTGGCTACGGCGGGCGCGCGACCGCAGCTGACCTTCTCTTCGCGCCGCGTAACTTCGGCCCTGCGCAAGCTCGGTCGGGAGGACGGGAGAGACGCTCCCAGCTTGCGCGCGTCCTTGCTGCGAACCTTTTTTTCTTTGTTTGTCCCCTCATTTCGTGCTGTAGTGAGAAGAACTAGCACTAGAGCCCATCTCATCCAACCTCTGATATTCAGCTTCCTGCAACCGGCGTCTTCTCATTTCTAAACGTTGGGAAGGACTGGGAGAGACCAGTAGAGCATTCGCTATGTTTTCATTTGGGCTATGCTAAACCAAAAAAAAAAAAAAAAAACCAAATCCGTTGCGGTGAAGTCGGCTCTGACGCATAGCGACCCTATCCCCATAGGGTTTCCAAGGAGCTGCTGCTGGATTGAAACTGCCAACCTTTTGGTTAGCAGCCAAGCTCTTAACCACTGTGCCACGAGGGCCCCTGGGATACGCTCGTGGGCGTCAACTCCGGAGTAGTTGGGGGTAGTATGTAGATGTGGGTCCAATTTCCTCCTTTAAACTAAAGTTGGAAAGGAAAGCATTCAGTTGTCACCGAGAATCCACAACTTCCCTAAACTGACCGACATTACTCAATGATTGGCGGACATTGACTTATTATGGTATCGATTTTAGCACGGGACTAGATCGCCCGTTTTCTGGACGGGTTGCTTAACAGTTCAAAATATAGTTTTATCAGCAAATTTATTGTACATCTCCCATGGTAAGATCTGAGAGGGAAGAAGTATAAACACTTAAAGCCAAATTCCCTGACCTTCAGAAATTTACGATTAGGTGGAGAAATTTAAAGGATACAGTCAACCTTTAGGGAATACTGTGTGAGATTGGGAAGGGAAAGGAAGAAGCTGGTGACCAAAGGGGTTCAAAAAAACACTCAGAAACTCCACTTTTATTCACATGATAACCAGAACACTGAGGAATTTGGGGTCTCATTCGTACTGTTTTAATCATTCCTGTCCTAGGTTTGAGCAGCGAGAATTTTGTGGACTTTCAAGAAATATGAACTTGATGCTGTTTTATAGAAAATGATAATAATGTGACTCACATTTCATGATTTAGTATACGCTTTACGTCATTTGGTTGTAATGTTGACAGAGAAAAGAGAACTATCTTTAACTCTTGCTATGAACATAACTTGTTCCAACTATTATGAAAAATTTTCTGTGATGTCATATATAGAGATTTCCAGGGGCCACCAATCTATTCTATCACTTAACTTGCATTAATGAGAAGTAAAACAGCTTTTGACTCATCTCAATCAAAACGTTTTCCAAAATGGTTGTGCCATTTTACATTTCCACCATTAGTATGTGATAATTCCAATTGTTCCATATCCTAGCCAACACTAGGAAAGCTCAGGATTTGAAATTTTAGCCTTTCTTTTGGGTGTGTAGAGGTATCTAATAATGGTTTTAGCTTGAATTTCCCTAGTGGCTAATGATGTCGAGCATTTTTTTTTTTATTGTTCTTTAGGTGAAGGTTTACAGAACAAATAGTTTCTCATTAAACAGTCAGTACACATATTGTTTTATGACATTGATTAACAACCCCACGACATGTCAACACTCTCCCTTCTTGATCTTTTTTTTTTTTTGGTGAAAATATACATAGCCAAAGATACACCATTTCAAAAATTTCTAGATGCTATTCTCACTTTAG